AAAAATTTTTTTTATTTAAAATACAGTTTCCACTTTGCTTGTCTTATAAAAAAAAAAAACTAGTTGTGTCCCACCAGGGAACAGTGATTCTCCCATAACAAAGAAATATTTGTTATCACTCATTTAACAGTTGTCTTGCCAGATGTGCACACACATCCGTATTTAAAAAATCCTCTGGAGGGTAACAACCATACCCATCTTTCAAGAGTAAGGTCACTGTACTTCCATCCTCTGGAGTGTAACAACCATACCCATCTTTCAAGAGTAAGGTCACTGTACTTCCATCCTCTGGAGTGTAACAACCATACCCATCTTTCAAGAGTAAGGTCACTGTACTTCCATCCTCTGGAGTGTAACAACCATTCCCATCTTTCAAGAGTAAGGTCACTGTACTTCCATCCTCTGGAGTGTAGCAACCATACCCATCTTTCAAGAGTAAGGTCACTGCACTGCCATCCTTCAGAAATAGTTCTTGACACATTTCTCCAAACAACAACAATAATTATATGCCCTACTAGATATTAAGCAGCAACTCACATGGAATTATATAATTTTGTTTCATGATGTATTTTTATATCTTACGGTATTATTATTTTTTATTATTATTATTATTTTTTTATTATTTTTAAATTTATTATTATTATTATTATTATTATTATTTAGTATTAGTATTTCTCAGTTCATGGAGTAGGGGCATTAACTCCGTAGAATATATATATATATATATTATTTTTAAAATATATTATATATTATATATATTATATATATATTATATATATATATATATTTATATAATATATATATTTAATGGAAACCCGAGAAAAATCAGGTTCGATCCACAAAAGAGAGAATTAGGTCCATTTCGTTGGGTCTGTCACCCACATCAAGAAATCCCAATTGAAGGGACATTTTTTGAGATTCTGGCTGCGAGAGTTGCATGTCTGCTTAGCATTTACTGCGTGGTAGATCAACCATCCACTCTTTCTTGTGCTGAACGATTCACACGAGTTTTTCGCTTCATATCATATATGATTTGTTGTGTCCGTCCTTCCTGTAGTCAACAGTAGTGAGGAAAGGACTTGTGTGGCAACCGTTGCTGTGGTCACCTTTTCTGGGGGGTCCCTTCACCTTCTATGGCGAGCTCATCAGGGTACGTTGTCCCAGTAAACCCCCCCCCCTTATGACCTCGTCCAGTTATTCAATACGTGTTCTGTTAGGTTGTTCTCGAGCTATTACCGTCACGAACTAGGCAGCTAGATCAGGTGGACTCGAAGACACTCACTTGTTCAGTAATGATTTGATTATTTTTCTATCATGTAATTCTTTTATTTACTTATATTTATCTACAGATACTAGCATAATTAGTGGGTAGTGGCCACGAGTGGTCATAAGGTCCTGAGCTGATTTGGGGATTAGTATAGAGAGTTACAAAGCCATGGTTTGTTTCTTTAGTGTTTTAAAATCTGAGGTTATAGTGTTGAAGAAGGAAATCCTACTTCTCCAGGAGGAAATTAGGAGGCTGAAGGTTCGCCTATATTGGTTTGGGAGTGAGTGTGAGATGGATTGAATGGGTGAGGGGTAAAAGATACAAGCCGTGAGGAGCAGTCTGGTACTCAATGTAAGGTGACTGGAGTTGGTAAGGATAAAAAGGCCACCAGCAGTGAGGAGCGGTCTGGGAACTGCTACAAGTGGTAAGTGGTTCCCAGTAATGGGAGGAACATCAAAATAAGGAAAGTTTAGAGAGAAGATTTGAAGGTAGGAAATCACT